CGCCGGGCCCCCGTGCCCCAAGCCCTGCCCTGCCCCCCATCTGTCCTTGCCCCTCCCCCAAGCCACGCCCCCCGGCTCATGCCCCTCCCCCAAGCCCCTACTCAGCTGTGGGCTGGGGAAGGGGCTGGAGCTGGGACTGGGACCAAGGCTCAGGCTGGGCTGGGGCCAGGGCTGGGCCGGGGCTGGAGCTGGGACTGGGACCAAGGCACAGGCTGGGCCGGGGCCGGGGCTGGGGCTGGAGCTGGAGCTGGAGCTGGAGCTGTGGTTGGGCATGGCCACCTGTCTTGGTGGTGACAATCTCAGGGCCCAGATGGAGGCAGAGGCTGCGGCGGGCATGGGCACAGGACCGTCAGCTGCTCCCCAGGGCCCAGCACCACCTGGGGACAGGGAGAGAGCACACCAAGGGCAGGCAGTGATGGGAGGGGGACCCAGAGCATGCCCCAGACAAGCCACCACACGCTGGGCCCAACATCCTTACCTGCTCCACGGGGCCCAGGGCCACCCTGCCCAACTGAGGACATGCAGCAAGGCGTGGGTGCCCAACACCACCTTGTGACATACTGAGGACACTGGTCATGAGCGAAGGACAGAGGGCACAAGACGAGGATGCACCAAGGAGGTATCACAGAACCACGGGGTGATAGGATCGCAGCATGGCTGAGGTGTGGAGGGACCCCTGAAGATCACCTGGTCCAACCCACCCTACTCAAGCAGGGCCACCCAGAGCTGGTTGGCCATGACTGTGCCTAGTCAGGTTCTGAATATCTGCAAGGATGGAGATTCCACCACCTCCCTGGGCAGCCTCTGCCAGGGCTTGGTCACCCTCATGGTGAAAAAGTGTTTCCTGATGTTCAGAGAGAATCTCCCTTGTTACAGTTTGTGCCCGTTGCCTCTGGTCCTGTCCCTGGGCACCACTGAGAAGAGCCTGGCTCCCTCCTCTCCACACCCTCCCTTCAGGTATTTGTACACATTGATAAGATCCCCCTGAGCCTTCTCTTCTCCAGGCTGAACAGTCCCAGCTCTCAGCCTTTCCTGGTAGAAGACATGCTCCAGTCCCTTCGTCATGTCTGCAGCCTTCATTGGACTCACTCCAGCATGCCCATGCCTCTCTTCTGCTGGGGAGCCCAGCACTGGGCACAGCACTCCAGGTGGGGCCTCACCAGTCCTGCCAAGAGGGGCAGGATCAGCTCCCCCACCCACTGGCAATGCTCCTAACACAGCCCAGGACACCATTCGCCACCAGGGCACGCTGCCGGCTCATAGCCCACATGGTGGCCATGAGGACCCCAGGGTCCCTTTCTGCTGAGCTGCTTCCCAGCTGTTCAGCCCCCAGCATCTACTGGTGCATGGGGTTGTCCCTCCCCAGGGGCAGGGCTTTGCACTTCCCCTTGTTGATCCTCGTGAGCTTCCTGTCAGCCCATTCCATAGAATCATAGAATCGTCTAGGTTGGAAAGGACCTTTAAGATCATCAAGTCCAAAGTTTCTCCAGCCTCAGGGTGGCAGCACAACTCTGGCGTATCAGCCACTCCCGCTTTGGTGTC